TTTGAACAAATAATGATGCTTCTATTCACCAAGTATTGTGCAACTCATCATCCACATGCATCATCTTTTTAGCAAGGTGCTCCCAATTAATATGTGTAGTGCAGATTATCAATCCAGAATAGAGAAGTTTTTGACCCTACACATATAACAATGATGTTCTCATCAGTTGTAATAACTGGATGAATATGAAATGTTAAATAAAAATGAAATTCATAAACTAGACACCAATTATTGGTGAAACTTAAGGTTTATTGAAGCATGGATACTCATGTTTATAAGCACTAGATCATAATAAAAATCACTCTCCATGTTAATACCTGGCGAATCACCAAGTGGAATTACACTTTTAGGTCCTCCCTTCTCTTCACTGTCCATATCCAACAAACCGTCATCTTCTTGTTCCCAAGATGTGATCTACTTAAATTTAGTGGAGGATCAGATAAGTGGACAAATATGTCTTCGTGACCAAAATATATTTTTGTGTTCATATGCATTGATTGGATGGGTAAAGAAGACAACTCACAACAGTCAACTTTAGCATACATCTCAATAATTTTTTTGCACAGATTGACCAAACATGCATCGACCATACACTCAACATCTTCATTGTCATTGATGAAATTACGAAGGTATTTTCCATTAGAAGCCTCATATCTAGCTGTTAAGAGAGAAATACATTATTTGACTTAGAGCCTCAAGTGTTGATGAACTTTCCTCTTAAGATCATTGTAGCTAGCTAGTATCGCATTTGATTTGCGTTGTTTTTGTTTGACCTTCAAAAGTTAGACCATTAGTGTAACACTTCGTCTGCAGCCGATGTATTAACATACAAATGGTATTTAAAGCGCAGCTTGCAATAATTAATCGCGGAAGCAATAACTGTTTTCTTCAAAAAAATAAGACTAATCCTCATGTGGATTAACTTATTATTTTAATGACAACCCTTATGTAATTGAAATGCTAAAATAAAACCTGAATTACCTCATACTCATAAATAACAATTTAAAAGCATCCATAACTCATGGTGCTACGATACAAATACTCAAGTCAACAAATAAACAGATTATTTAATAGTGGCATAAACAACCCTTTTGCTCACTACAAATAACAACATAATCCATCAAGTCTAGTCATAATAAAGTCTTCTCATGGTAGAATGAATAATCATAATATGCATGACTCATAACAATAATGAAATCTCTATGCTAGCCTCTTGCCTCTATCAGTGTCCGTCTCACGAACATCATCTCCTAAAAATGTGCCCCCAAAAAGAGTGAGATTTCTAACAGAAATCTCAGTAAGACAAGGGGTCCTCAAGGAATCCTCCACCCCAAGTTCACTTACAGGTATAATATAAGTTCTAAAACAGAGCAGACAGTATATAAAGAAGCAGATTAATAATAACAAGATAAGGCTATTTATAACAGTAAATAATGCAGTATATAAAATAAGCATGCCAAGCAATATATCAAATGAGTATGCAATGCCGCATATGTCCATGTCATGTGTGTATGCATCCTATTGGCCAGAGAATAAAATGTAGGGATTACGTACGTCTACAACCCACAATACAAAGAGTCAACCATGTACCTCACACACGGAGTTACCATCTTGCATGTGGCCTAACATGCTCAGGGATTACCATCTCGTGTGGAATACTCCACATACATATACATATGGCAAATGCACTATATCATAATCCAGCTCAACAGCATATCCAATACTCATAACATAAACATATATTTCCATAATCCAGCTCAACATCTTCTCCAATACTCATAACATAAACAGATATAATTCCATAATCCAACTCAATAGCTTATCCAATACTCATAACATAAACAGATATTATTCCATAAAACATATCATGCACATAAACCAATCCCCCATGGGGTTTGGCGGAACAAGTAAAGGATAAAACCGAGGACCAAAAGCTTACCTGTATCAGTAGAGTCCTCTAATACAACTCAGTATCAACGTGGTCACCAACAACCAAATAATCCAGCGAGTCACAATCTGGCTTAATGGTAAACACATCATCAATAACCATATCTTACAATTTCATGCCAAATGGAACATGTTTTCTTTTTCATTTAGCGTACTATAGGCTTCTCCCAAAGCCCCCAAGCACAAACCGTCTTTACAATTTTTAAAACTGCAGTTGCAACTCTTTACCAAATATTCTAAGTTTTTAATATGTTAAACTAGACATCTCAAGCTGTCCAAAGACATATTTTATGTCTCATTTGGAGTTGTATAACTCCGGTTATATTTTTTCGTAAAGTGATGGCTGCAAACTGAATTTACAACAACCAAAATGAGACTTCAAATTGACACTGCAATCAAATCACTTATCCAATGGCTACAAAATTTTACAGAGTTGTAGCCCTATGTCTTACTTCACATAGGTTCAAATGGAACTCAATTTGGAGCTCTGTAGCTCTAGATATCAAATTTTTACTAAAACAGGTTCGTTGTTGTCTACATATCCAGATATCATATCCGGATATTTCGCGACAGTGGCCAAAAACAGCAGCCAAGCACGAAATTATCCATTAAAATGAAATCTTTTACCTAGATACATCTATCCCATCATCTTAACATGCATTTTAACACTTAGGTTCATTAACCTACGTTCAAGTTATCAAAACTCATAATTTTATATCTTCAAATCTTGTTATTTTCATAAAAACACTAAGGGAAGTGTTGAGGTATATATCCATGAGGTTCAAAATAGAAAAAGGAAGAGTCTTCATGGTCTACAATCCACTTCCCAATGCTGCCATGGTAAGAGCACCAAAAATGTTCTTCAAAGATTGGTTCTTTTCTCGCTAAAGATTGGTTCTTTCTTGTTCCAAGGCTTCAACACAAGTGAAGATGGTGACTCAAGCTCTCAAGGATGAAAGGGGGCCATTCTTAGACTCAAGACAACAAGCTTAACCCTTCAAGATGGTGTTTTTCTCTTCTAACATCACTAACAACTAGTGTTTACAAGGTTATGATGATCCAATTGTGAAGAAAAGTGATGACTTTGGTATGTTTCTTGAAAAATGATGAAATCCTAGAGGTGGAGAATATTTTCTACCATAAGAGGAAATGAGAGTGCAACAATATGGGTTTCAACAAATGCCTAGGGTTGTGTGCCACTTAGTTATTTATAAGAGCACCCACTAAAACTAACAGTGTTAGTTTAATTAGTTTCGCTCTTCGTTTAACCCTGAAACTTCATATTCTTTTTTTTTTTTTTTTTTGGAGTTACCCAACCCTAATTATCTCTTTGAGACGAGTTGGCTCCCTCCGGTGTCCCCACGAGCTTCGACTCTTCGAGCCGGCTATGGGACTAATCCGGAGTGCGGGAGAACAGTGATAGCTAAAGGTTCAGCCCCCTCCCCTACACATTTTTCTAGGAATTATCATATTTTTACATTAATTTTTTTTAGACACTTTGCTGGTACACACTTTCTACATCGAAATAGCCGATATTAGTTCTGACATCACTGCTTACTATTTTCATCTCAAATTTGATATTCTTGACCTAGATATTTTTCTATGAATATTCATATTTTTATTTCTATTTTTCAAGTTACCTCGCCGATATCCATTTATACATCCATACATTTTGATTATGTAAATTTTTTTACTAGCATTAATTCGTACATGCAGGTGATATTGTTACTTTTTTCTAGGATGGAATTCCACATTATACATACATTGCTTGGGATCATCCGAGCGTACAATATTCTTATACCAATGGTTCTGGTTCAGTTGAGGGTTCATGGCTATTAGTGAATAAGTTATTTGTTAAGTAAGAATTTGAATAAAAAAAGAGAGCTGCAGATGGAAATCAAGCAGAACCTAACGAAGGAGTATCAAGAAGCAATTGTGGTTGAGAGCACGCATACAAAGTTAAGCCTGAAATGTCATGCGCATGAGCAGGGTGCCCGTGGAGGGATAGGGTAATAAAACCAACATACGATGAGAATTGGAAGGCTATTAAATGGGGTGGAAACCACAATTGCTTGAATAACCACATTTTTCAGGGTCACAGATAACTTGATGCTTATGTTATTGCTTCACTCGTCGTAGGTAACTTATTGGATTATTTTGAGATTATTTTATGGTTAATGGCATTTTTGTTTGTCTTAATGTCTAGTTACAATTTGATTGTTAAGGATGATAAAAGAGGAACCATCAGTCTCAATTGCACTGGTTCTAGAGAGGATCACCCATACATATGGTTTCAAAGTTTCATATAAAAAAACATGGTATGCGAAACAGAAAACAATTGATATAATGTATAGTGATTTGGGAGGAGTCTTACGCATTTTTGATCAGGTGGTGTGAATATATGCTTCGCTTTTCACCAAGTTCTGTTTATCATTTTCAAACAACTGATTATTTTGTGGCGAATCAACTGGTTCGTGAGAAACTCGTATTTCGTCGTATTTTTTGGACATTCAGACAATGATTTTAGGGAAAAGTGTCTATACTTTTAAATTACACAACTTACATCCTTTCACTTTCACAAAAAGGTGGGACCCACAACTTTATTTTTTTTGTCAACTCTCTCTCCTCCTTTATCTATCTCTTTCTCTCTCTTAAAATGACACAACTTTACATCCTTCAAAATTATGCACACTTTTCCCATGATTTTATAGGCTACGTAAGTCACGTCCCATTTGGACGTGAGTGGTCGTGCCTGAAATAGACATAAGTGTTTTCGATAGTCACGCTTAAATTGGGCGTGAGTGGTCTTTCCCAAATTGGGGTAAATGAGTGTAATAAATTAATAAATTGGTTCAAAAAATTTATATTTTCGTAATTTTTTTATTAAAAAAAGTATTTTAATTTTTTCCCTTTTTTTTGCCCAGACAAATTCAAATTTAATTTGTTTAAAGACGGTGCACTGACAGAGCGATGTCAGTTGGAAACGACGCCGTTTACCTCCACCGGTGACCTTGGTTTGCCTAAACCCTAAATCGTCGTTTTGTAATCATCTGATTTTAATTCCGATTAAAGCTTCTATCTTTCACAAAAACAAAAACCACGAAATTGAAAATCCCAATAACAATTGCCTTCAATGGACGTGAAGGCTCTGGCAAAATCAAAGAGAGGTCACACACAGCAACACAGCAAAAAACACCATAGCCAGAAGCTCAAAGCTCCATCACCATCATCTTCTGGTTCAAATGACGCTACGAAGAAGAAGCCATTGCAAGTGAACGAGAAGAGAACACATGGGTCTCGGTCTCAGGGTTCTTCCGCGCTTCCCACCAATTGGGATCGCTATGAGGAGGAGGAATTTGATTCTGGGTCTGAAGGGGTCTCTCCTGAAAGTGCAAGCAAAAACCTTGATGTTGTCTTGCCCAAAAGTAAAGGTGCTGATTTTCGCCATCTTGTTGCTGAGGCTCAATTTCATGCAGACACAACAACTTTAGAGGGCTTCCCTTCTTTGGATGACCTTCTTCCTGGTATTTGTTTTGCTTCATAACTCAATTACCTAGTTGTGAGAATGAGATTCATCACCATTTCAGTGTTATCTTTCTTTAGTAACACTAGCATATCTGTAATTAATGTTTTGTGATAAATGAGCATTGGTAATTAAGTAATTAGTCAATGAGACTTTTGTTAAATGTAAATGTTGTTGAGATTTATTTTTATTATGTCATTTTTTTACAGGGGAGTTTGGTGTGGGATTAAGTTCTATGCTTGCAGTCAGGGGAGAGGGCATTCTGTCATGGGTTGGAGATGAAAATTTTGTGGTAGAGGATAAGACAAGTGCAAATCAAGAGGTAATATATTCACTACCTTAACTATTGTTGATATGATTATATGATCAGTTCTCATGTTTAGCTATGCTTTCTGAATGTAATAGGGGTAGTTCTCATCATAAGATTTTAAGCATACTAAACATCTTAATAAAACAATGTCAAGAGTCTATATGAGGCCAGCTGCAGCTACCTTTCTAATGCTTGCAACCTAATAAATTATTTTGTTTCATATAAAATGAATGATCAAGGCTGCATACAAATGACCCTTACTCCTGCCTTCATAAAGTTGGGAAGCCTTATGCACTGGGATCTGCCCTTTGCTTATGAATAAGTAGTAGTAATATTAGAAGCTCTTCATATTTATTTTTTGTACTAGCATCCAGCTATTTCGTAGCACCCTGTACTTTTTTTTTGAAATATAGATTACTTTCTTCAGTATCTTGATAAATTAGCATCTCTGAAGTTAGCATAATAAATTTCGGGTGCAATATATCAGGCTACAAGCTGTTCCAGTTTGTTTGCCTTTGAATTTCCTTTTTAGGGTAACTATTGCTATCGGAAGTTCTTCCATTTATATAGCTGCTACAATATAAATTGGTCCTTGAGGCTTATGTATGCTATGCTTGTTTGACTGGAAATTTTTAAATGGAAGTTTCTTCACACTTGCTTGGCTAACAAAATTGTAGGATGATTGCAAGTTTGATTGAGTATACAGTCTCTGCCTTTAAATATTAGACACTTTTTTATTTTGAACAATTTTTTTTATCTGCAAGAGATTATTATTGGGAATTATAGTTCTGCTGTGTAAATAATAATTGAGTTGTTGTCGATCTACGTGATTTTGTCCTGCATTCTTATCAAGATTTGCCCTTGCAACACTTTATATCTTAATTTTTTTGCCTAAATGTTATCTTCCAACTTCATTTATCATGAACTGGGTTTTCATGCAGGCATCATTTATTTCCATGAATTTGCTTGCTCTGGCTGAAAATCTTGCAAAAGTTGACTTATCAAAGAGATTATTCATTGAGTCTGACCTGTTGCCCACTGAGTTGGTATGTTTACTCTCTAAATTGATCTTGCAAATTATCTGGCTTGCATCTTTTTGCAAATTTCATAACATTTTAGTTAAATAACTTAAGTTGTATATCACAATGTGTATATATATATAGATATATATGGGATTGGTGTTTGTCCGTTTAAAGGACATAGAATTGTGTCATTTTAAGTGATAAAAAGAGATACACAATGGAAATCATGGGGGGAGAAAGTGAAAGTTTTTTTTTTTTAATTTAAATTTTAAATAAAAAACACTAGTTTTAACTAAAATGACCATCCTTTAAAAGGACAAACATTTATATATATATATATATATATATATTTTTACATTCTCTATGTTTACTTAATTTTAATTTCCTTTTATTGCCTCTGAGGTTTGGGCAGAGGCACATAGTGCGTAGTTGTTTGTAAGTAGTTATACATTTGGCCTAACTTACACTTTGTAAGAATTGTTTTATGATTTAATTACTTGAGATTTTATGTCATAACTCAAACTTATATAGTACTCGGGGCTACTTAAGTTTGTTTTGTGCTCTACTGTTTCCATGCATGTGGGGAATTGGAGAATTAGAATCCCTTATATTTTTCCTAATCCTACAAACAACACCTTGTCGCAAAGAAAAATTCTTAGGGGCTCCTAGAGCAAGAGATTTCTCTTACTCTGTAGCAAGAAATGTGTACCACTTCAGTTATAGCATTAAAAGTGTAGTTAGTGGATGTAGCGATGGCACACATAGCGGATGCGGTTTACATTCTATGGTACAAAGCAAGCACCTAAGAATTTCTCTTGCTGTAAAACACTTTTTCTTTTATAACATGGAATGACAAACAGAGAAACTGTAAAATGAGCCATTTGTTGGTAAGCATGAGCCATAATATATAGTGAAACATGGCCATATGTACTTTTATCAAGTGCGACATTGGATACATGCTTTATTGATGAAAGCAACTGTTATTTATGAGTTTTTGGCAAATAATGGAAGTTTCTGAACTTCAGCAATTTCTTTGTTCGTTGTGAAATCATATGTTTAACTGTTCCTTGCTGATAGAAAAAACTTTGACACTGATGTAGCACTGGGACAAGTACCATGTAATTGTTTGACAATTGGAATTTTGAGCTAGTCATATTATAAATCCAGTAGTATGCCTGCCCTTGTGAAGCCCATGAATGATTTATAGGATTAATTTTACTTTGATATAGTCTTCAAATTTATATTATGCTGCAATAATGTGGTTTATATAACAGTGTGTGGAAGACTTGGCAGTGGGCAGTACTGAAGAACCTGACGAACTGGAAACTAGAGAGGACAGTGAACTATCCAATAGGTTGTCTAAAGGGTTAAATTTAGATGATTCTGCTGCAGATCAGTTTACATCATCTAGTTCCAGTAGCAGCGGCCGTGCTGCTTCTGCATTCACCTTGTCCAACAACTCCCTCATTCCTGTGAACCATATCAATGTTGAATCTCAACAAGTCGGTAGTTCTGGTGAAAATAAAGCATTTATTCCAAGTGCAGAAGATAATTTACATTCTACTGAAAATACAAGGACACATTCAACATTTGGAACAGCTGCTGCTGAAGAGGAACTGGATATGCTCTTAGATTCACTTAGTGAGACCAAGATTCTAGATTCTCAGGGCTTTAAATCCAATACCTCTTTTCCTGTCTCCTTGGGAGTTTCTTCAGTTGATCGTTCTCATGTGTCGAATAAAGAGACTGTTCCATCCAAAACTGCATCAGTTACTGCTAGTCTAGATGATGAACTTGATGACTTGCTAGAGGAAACATCCACTTTGATGAATCCAAATGTTTTATTACGGCCACAGGAAGAAAAGCCTGTTCGTCACAGCATACAATCTTCTTCACATTCTGAAAGCAAGTCCAAAGTGTCAGATGATTTTGATTCATGGTTTGATACACTTTGATTAGTTTGAAGTTTTATAATTCTTGCTAATGTGTAATATTATGTGTTCATTTGCTACTTTTGCAAAAAGTAGCCTTTGCCTTTTCCACCAGAATCTGGTGAATGAAAAATGGTCTTCTTCCATACCCTTTGATGGAGTTTTAATATAATGTGTAACCTTAAAACATTATAACCATTATGTGAAGAATTAAGCGTATAAAACACTACATCTGAGCTGATTGAAAGTGTTGTGTTTAAAATGTTGATGTCACAAACCTAATGGTGTTCTCCTGAGAGAGATATCTACATAAGCTACGTAAAAGCTGGTTTTATATTCAGGCCAATCAGAGGTATAACGAACACACATATTAATGTATTACATAAAATTTGTTTTTTTTGTATAGATTAAACATGATATAAATTACTTAATATTGTGAAATAAATCAATTTGATTTATGAAATTATGGTCTGCATTTGATTGGCTTTGCCTAAGAGAGAGAGAGAGAGAGAGAGAGATATATATATATATATATATATATATATATATATATATATATATATATATATATGCATATTGTGTTTTCCAAATTGGTTTCGGGCAAAAGATTTCTGCAGAACATTGCATGCTAAGAGCAGTAGATATTACTTTTGGTGCATCATGACTTAATTTATAGGAGGGGAGCCTATTATTGATTTAATGTAGACAAATAGTCTAATATTGTTATGATTATATTTTTAAGCAGTGAGTTTGGTAGTGCAATCACATTATGTTTACAGGCGGGGAGGTCAAGATTAATTTGTTCTAGTTCTATCTAAGTACATACCACTTGGATACTTATATTATTTTAGAAAAGTGTAGATTTTCAATTTATATACGTATAGCTTAGTTGATTTGGATTTGACACTTTATTTTCCAACTTTGTTGTTTGATTTATCAAAATATTATTTGATAGTGTTAGTTTTGAAAATATTGGGTATGAATTATTATTTGAGAATTTCTTAAGTATATCATTTAATTAAAGATAATTTTATGTTGCCACGTCTTGCTTGTGATAGATCCTATCAAGCAAGCACGGACACGGTTTTTCAAAAAAATTTGGGTGTCGGACACGTGTCCGACACGGACACGCTCTGACACGCGGTCAATATTTGGGGATACGCGGTCAACTTTTCGACACGTTTTTCTGATATACAGTCAACTTTTTTCGATACGCGGTCAACGCTTGGACAGACTCTGACATGTTTTTTTTTTTAATCTGAATTTTATTTTACTAACTAAATATAAAAAAATAATTTATAAATTAACTTTTTTTTAATTTGAAATTTGACATGAAAAATTAACAAAGTACGAAAAATTATTTTTATTTATATTTATGTTATGAAATTTAAATATTTGATTGGTTATATAACTTATTATGGACTGTTATATCTATTAAATATAAATTATATTATATATTTTAAAAATATTATTTAATATCAAAATGTGTCCCAACGTGTCGAAATATGTCATTTTTTAGAATTAACGTATCGGCGTGTCATGTCGTATCCCGTGTCAGTATCCGTGCATCATAGAATCCTATTGCTTACTAATTCAGTTGCATTGCAACTCACCCCAACAATAATTAAAATTTTGTAGGTATAACTGTAGAGTTAGTCTTGATTTTACTCTTCCAGTTTGATCGTGGGAGTCTATTTGGTTATTGATGGTGAGTTTGGCACATCAATTTGTGTAAGCAAGGTTTATGTTTTAATTTTTCTAGAAGACTTGTATGTTAATGCTGTAGAGTTGCTCCATTATAATTTCTACAAGTAGGTTAATTTTAAAATATTTTTGATAAATTCAAGTGTATATTGATAAAAATTAGACTTGACGGGCTAATCGCTAGAAAAATTTAGTGTCTGTTTGAGAGTTTTTTTTTTTTATTTCTCTTCTTCTTAAAAATATAAGTTAGATCAAACAGATTTTTATAAAAACTCTTTTAATAAAAGGGGTTATATATATATATATAATGAAGCTAAAAATCAAAAGCAAAATAGGTTGTATTAAATTTTTTTTTGAAATAAACAAATTTCAAGTAACTTTTAAGCTAAAAAATTTATAAAATGTTCAAATAGTTTGTAGTTAAATTTTTAAAATTCTTTTTTTAATTTTAACTTAAAAGTAGCTTTTAGTTTTTTTTTTTTAAAAAAAAAAACTCCCAAACAAGTTCTTAATTTAGCTGATGCAGCAAGCTGGGTTGGGGGGGGGGGGGATAATTCTTAATTATTAGTACAAAAAAAAAAGCTGCTCAATCAGTAGAGAGCTATGAAACACTGATACTTCAAAAATCCTGATGTGTCGTGTCCGACACTTTTCAACACTCTCCGACACTCTGACACTTCCCGACACTCCATCACGCGTTATTGAAATTCAAAAAAAAGTTCAAAGGTTGCGTTGAGTTTTAGTTCCAACTATTAGATTCGTTGAATTACGATTACCATTTTATTGAGTTTAATATAAATATTTGGGATATCTTATGCTTCTTTGCCAAATTGATGAATATTATAAGTTTAGTTTTATTTTTTTGTTAAATTATTGAATATTAAATATAGGGAAATATTACTCTCATTTTACATGAGGTAGTTATCTCATTTTCTCTCACATCGAAAATCGCACCCCTTCTTCTTTCTTTTTCTTTTTTACTTGTTAATGGTGGACCCCACTTAAACTCTCTCTATAGCATGAGATAATACTCTCATGTAACATAAGATTAATATTCCCCTTAAATATAATATATACAACATAAATTAAAAATATTATTTAATATCAAAATGTGTCATAACATATCGAAATATAACATGTTTTAGAATTAACATGTCAGAGTGTCGTGCCGTATCGTGTCACGTGTCTCGTGTCAGTATCGGTGTTACGTAGGTAGAGAGACTCGGATTTGGGTTGTGCACTTACTTTCTTATTCCTATCTATACCCACTTATTCATATCAACGACCAACATTCCACGTCAGCAACTATACTAAACTAAGCAACTTGTCATATTTAAATTGTTACAACGTCACAATCCATATTACAATTTCCCCAATTATATTGCCACAACCATAACGTTCTTTTAAGAGCCCAACAATCACTCCAACTGCTGCTATGCCTAACAGATTTCTCTTTTGTGTTTTATTGAGGTTCCTTTTATTGGTAAAATGGACGATGAATTCCTTGATACGTACATTGTTAGAAAAGGGGATCCGAGTTGCTTTTCATCGTTAGATGATAATAGAAAACTCCCCAATGATGCGGGAGTTTTAGGATCCTTAAAATAGAAATCACTTTGGAATCACTTTTCCTAAATTTTAGAATAATGAAAATTGCTCCTAGTAGTAAGGCTTTTAAGAGTGACTACAAGAAAGTTTTTTAATGGATTATTTAATTATCTTTATACATAGTGGGATTCTTCAATTGATAATGGATTAGATTAATTTTAATTAATGAATTAATCAAGATATTTATAGAAACATACACTTTGCTACATATGGAATGTGTTGGACTTTTCCTCCTTAATGCTGAACAAGGTCCAATATTGATGAGTGAGGCTCAAGAAACTCGGGGCTCAAGAAACTCAAAGAAGTTAGGGCTCAAGTAACCCTAATCTCCACTTTTGATATTCTAGAACTTTCTCTCCTCTTCTATATTAGCATCAATTGAGGGTTGGAATAGAAGTTGGCTTTGAGACAATTTGAGAAAATTGAGAGAACACCACTAGAGAGAAGCTTGAGAGTTTGACCTCCTAAGAAAAATTTGAAAGAATACCACAATTGTAGGTGAGTTTTGAGTGTACCACCATTATCGGTGAAGTTTGATATCTTGTACCCATTATTTTCATAATGAAAGTTTGATTCTAGACTAATGTCACGTGGGTTTTTACTTCTTCACATTGGAGAAGATTTTCCCACGTTAAAAAATTGTTGTGTTTATCTTTCTTTCTTTCTCTCTCTCTCTCTCCCCTTTATATTTTTCATTTCTGCTACGTATAGGCTGACTTGGAGAGTTCAGGCTAACCTTTCTAATAGCCGAGCTCCGAGCTCGACGTTTTACTTTCGCAAAGGCTTCTTAGCCAAAATTAAGGGACCGAGTTCGTCTCATAAGTGGTATCAGAGCCCAGTTTCGATGGGTTCTGAAAAAGATAAGATGGAGACTAGTGGTGTAACCCATGACAACATTATGTTCAAGATGACCGCAGATAATTTTACTTATTGAAGACCAATGATGGAAGAACACATGTACTGTAAAGACTTGTATGAGCCCATCGTCCATGTAGAGAGGCCTGAAGGCAAAACCGAGAAAGAATAGGAAGACGCTGGCCATGATAAGAAAATACATTGATAAAAGTCTCTTCGAGCATGTTGCCGATTTCACGAATGCATACGAGTTATAGACGAAGCTGGAGCCCATGATTCAGAAGAGGACTCCTAGAAACAAAGCACACCTGATTCGCCAACTTGTGAAACTGGAATACAAGAACGACATGAGAATGATTGAACACCTCAACACTTACAAAGGTATTATGAATTAGCTGTCTAAAGTCGAGATGAAGATAGATAATGAGATGCAGGTGTTGCTGCTACTGAGCTCGTTGTCAGAAAGTTGGGATACTCTGGTAGTGACATTGAGTAACTCGGCTCTAGATGAGAAATTAAAGATGGATGTCGTGACAGACAACCTCCTGAATGAAGAATCGAGGAGAAGGAAATGAGTTGTAACCAGCACATCTGAGGTAAACATGACTGATGTAAGAACCCACACCGTTAATTAAGGAAGTTAATTAATTAATTATGTGAAATTAGGAAATAATTCCATAATTGACCCTAATAATTATGATAAGGCTTAAATAATATTGGTAAGTGAGTAATAATGCTGAAAGTCGCTTTTCTGACGAAAAGTGCAGATACCGGCTCTGCTACTTGGTATAAATGTGTACCGGTGAAGTATTCCAAAAAATTATGAAAATGGTGTATATGTCACTAGAATAATATATAGGACCTGTAAAACAAGTTTCAAGTTAAAATAATGAGAACTGGTGCCAGAACTGATACTGGCTATAGAAAAGCGCGTACCGAAAAGGTGCTGCGAAAAATAAAATAAAAATATAAAAAATCTTAGAAAAA